CGCGACGCCGCTCTTTCTCCCTTGTCCTTCGAGGGCTGTGCCCTGCGGATCCGGCGATGAACGCTTTTCGCCCTCTCTGTTTCGCTCTCTTTCTCCCTCCCTCTCTCGCCAGTCTCTCCCCGATCGTCTTCGTTCCGCTGATTTGCGAAGCCGTATGCACCTCTCGACTGCTCGGCCCGAAAGTTATTATTGGAGCGGCAAACTGCAAATAGCCCCTCGACCCTCATTGCGGATGATAGATTCGCGAATCTTCCTAATTACACGTAGATTGCATTATTCTGGCGAGAGAACGTCGGTTTTCGTGCGTGTGTAATTGGGATATTCGGTTAAGATTATTGACGAATCCATCGCCGTAATAGCGCGCGAGTAGCGCTAACAATAATGATTTCCAAGAGATATCGCGGGAAACAAGAAAATGAGGAGCTAACAGCCCGTATTGTGTAATATTGAAAAAGATCGGTTAACTGCCTTGAACAAATTACTGAGAGCTTTATTCGACAACGTAAGCGGATTGAAGAGCATTTTCTATGAAATCTAACGACAAAAAGGACGGGGGAAAAAAAAATTAAAAGTAAGAAACTACTCGATGAAGTTGTTGCGGCGCGCGATATGCGCGAGTGCGTTGTCGAGCACGACAAAGTAAGTAATAACTCAAGGTGAATGTAATTCGCGAAATTGAGGTGTTACGGAGAACTTGGGTAGCTCAGGAAGAGAGATCTCGTGTGCAAGCGTCGCGACGTCGCGACGCGGCCGAAGGGATGACAATCCTAAATGCATAGAATATTTTAGCGTAGAACGTTTCGAGCCTGAGAAAAAAATAAAATAAAAATATTTTGCAAATAGAATTTTCGATAAATTCTCTTTATCCGATTGTTTCGCACAAAAGTGATCGCTACGCTTTCAACATTGCATTTCTCGGCAAACAACAAGCCTGAAATAAAATTTCTGTTAAAATAAAGTCCATTTGAAATTAATCGATAAATGAAATTTTGTTATCCTCTTAAATTCCTAAAATTTAATTTTGCGAAATACTTTGGTAAATGGCTTCTGGAAATTTCCATTAAAGAAAAATCTTCGCTAAAATATCCTCGGAGAGATCCTCAAGTCTTTAAAATATCGCGCGATAGATCTGAATCACTGTGTACACTATTTTACAGCAGCGAGAAAAAAAAGGGACCACTCGCGCACAATTTTTGGGCGAACTCAAAATGTTTTTCAAGTCCCTGTAAATATTGGTTCGCGGAACTCTTTTCGGAAATTAACAGCCGTGTCGTGCATGCGTGTCGGAAGCAACGAGTTAATGATTGCATAACACAGTTTCATTTCGTCGTAAATGAGATCACGTCCATTAAGGAGGGCAGTACAACGTTCGGTTATTCGAGTTGTATATATCATATGTGCCGCATCCCTCAAAGAACATGCAGTTGTACACAAACGCATGAAACGAGCATTTTAACCTATTAAAGCCAGCGTGTAAAACAAAGCATTCATTCGACGCGCATCACCGCCCTGCGCCGTTAAAATAGATAAAACGTTAGAAAAATATGCAAACAAGATACCATGATTAAACAGCATTTCCGCTTTTTGCATATGAAAAAAGGGCAGCCAATATACGGGCAGCCTGCTTAATGTACGAATTTCGATATAAATAGCGATATAAATAAATAACGATAACATTATCGATCTAAATGGAGCGAGGAGAATAATGCAACAATATCAGTTGCATACAAATTATAACATGTATTAAATATTTTATATCATAATAGTATCAAACGGATTTTATTTACTCTTGAATACTCTGTAACAGTCACAAGATATATGATCATTCTCCATCTAACGTTAATAATACCGTAATCATCGAATGATGAAATGCACTGAATCGAGAATAATCACATAATTCGTATATAAACATTAACTGGGACATCGCACGTTATTTCCACCAGGAGCAAAGTGAATAAAACTACAATACTGGCGTGTTATTGCATTGGTTGACAATAATTTTTTTTCACAGTTCGCTCTTTTTTTCTTCAATCTCGTACAAGCCGCAAACTTTGTTGGCCGGTACAGCTTTGTCTGAAACAACGTTATCATATTACATTTGTGGAGCTCTTCATTGCAAAACTGGCATGAGTCTAATGCGGAAATATATCTATTTCCGCGAATTCTCAATTAATTTTATTCTCAATATAAATTAATTGAACCAATAATCGCCAATTCTATAATTCATTTTTATTCCGTGTAATAATTATTTTTTACCACTCGCGGCAATCAATTTTGACACGTTCTCTTAGAATATTAATATTTCCATTTCAATTGAATTTTCGAAACTTGAGTCGAACCACTTGTGAGATAAAGAGCTCATTTATTCAGCATGCGACAGGAGATGCAAGTTGGCAATTTTATCGATCTCCTTTCGCTTCAACGACAGGATGTAACGGCGTCTCTGCTCGTCTAATATTTAGGCGCGCCGTGTGAGAATTATGCGAAGCCGACACAGTAGCTGCCAATAGTTCCTTCTCCGTAAAATTATGTCCATCAATTTTTTCTCGATTCCCGATCGCATCGCGTGAGAAAATTAAATTAGAGGTGAAAAGAGGAGCGGGAAGAAATCGAATATCCTTAAACCAATTTCTGATATCGAACATTCGAAATTCGTAGCTTCCGGAAATGGATTCCTTACTTAATTCACTTATCCTTTACAAGAGATTCTCTTTCCTTCTGCATCAATCACACGACTGTCGGCGAACTTTTTCTCCGAATTTGCGCTTTGCGGCGTTTCACATCTCATGCAATCAGATTTCGTCGGGGGAAAAAAAGTCATGCGTTCGCGATTTCCGTAAAATTTGCGACAATTCGAGGAGTTTTCACTTTTCACACGTAAGGAAGAGTTACGTGATCGAGTGCCGTGGCCGCTCGATCGATGCGATCCTCGCGTCGACTCAGCATTCAGTTCCTCGACTGTACCTAGGACGACGACACCGTAACGCCCCCCAAAGACGGCTATTAACTTATCAGTGGATCGACCTGATAGCGGCAAAGCGAGCGCAACCCCAAAAATGAAATGCGAATCCCGATGGGACCCGTGCAGCCACCGAGCTTCTTCGAGAGAGCCATTTCGGTAACACTCGGCAGATAGCGCAACAACCCCATCGGTACATTAATTATTTCCGATTACTATCAAGGGCTTTGTATCGTTTCGAAACCACAATGCAGTGGCCTAAGACCTTTAGGATTTTCCAACGAATCGAATTCCGAGAGAATTTCATTAGAGAAGTCGAATAATTAACGCGAAAGACGCGATAGATATCGATTTAACCGATTCGGCCCTTCGAATTCAATTGATACATCTCGTTGAACCATCTGATATAAATTTTACACATCTACAGTCACATCAATGCGATATAAAGTAATAAAATAAAAAAACACAGGCAACGTTGCGGGCAAACTCACCGATCATCTTGGGATAAGGCAGGTTGAGGTTGTTCATAATTTCGACGAACTGCTCCAGCGACTTGGACAATCTGGGATTAAGAGCCTTCTCCTCGGCCACGGTGGTGACGGTTCTGCCATTGTAATCGTGCGCCGGGTACAGCCGGTAATTTCGCGGCAGCGTGAAAATCTTCTCGTGCACAGATTTGTACAGGACTGCGGCGGATCCGCCCTGCGCAGACGAGTGCAGCGATTTGAGCAAATTATGTCACGAAGCTGAACGCGATTAGGAGGCAAAAGTGCACGATAAACCGTAATTACTAAATAACATTGATAATGCGCGTGATTCCGCATTAAAATTTAATCGATGCAATTCGCTGATGAAATTCCGACGTTAATCTCAATGCATTTCAAACGAACGCGATAAATCTTTCTCGTTTGTTTTGCTGAAATTATAACCCGCCGGGATGAAATCAGTTTCAATTATTAATTCTAATTATTGTCAAGCAGCAAAGCGGATTGTCTGTTTAATGTGTCACGTGTAAAAATAATAATTGCGGTCGCGCTCCTCCGTTAAAAGGTCGTTTAACCGAGCTTTCGAGAAAGAAAAAGTCGCGGCGCGTTTATAAAATGCACCGGCGCGCGGTCGCGCACGATGACGGACGGCTATTCATCACGCGAGCTGCGGAGAAGGAGTCTTTCATATTCTGGATGATATATCGACGTTTACTTGTACTACGTGCGACACGGTGGGAAAATGTTATTGCGCGCGGCCGTCGACGTCCCGACGAGAATTCAGGATGCCACCGCCGACGTCCGCGTCTATTCTCCGCATCGGCATCGATCGCCGATTAGTTATGACAAAATGTCATTTATCAACATACGGCAATTATATCGGTGACGGATGGAGAATGCCATTTCCGGTTAAAAAAAAGACCGTTTGTTTTGATTAAGCGACTGTCCGACTACATTGAAAGAGACGCAATCGGGTCTTATCGGCGGGAATTAAAGCATGAACCAATGAATTCGTGAGTGAGGCTTTTGATCAATCCGAAAAGATTTTCATGAGTCACGTGCAATTTGTCGTTCATACAGTGTGTTTCCGGAATTATCACACGCTTTTCACGCTTGAATCTTTCTTTCGACAAATGCTTGCAGCTACCCCAAAAATTTGCACTCCACAATTTTTCTCAAATTTTCAAGTTTTTATATTAAATTTTCATAATCAAACTTCAGGCCGAAATCTAGTTAAAGTCTTATATAAAATTAAATGAAAAGCATACAATTGCGTCTTTTCATTTTCGTTAGGAAAAAAATGCAAATTAGTTAAATAATCTCCCCGGAAAAAAACTGCGATATTTCCAGCACACCCTGTATATTCGGCACATCTTGAAGTGTCGCTGATGAAAAATGGCAAGAAAAATAAAAGTGTGCATACAATATTAACTGCATGCAGGAGATTGCAAATATTCTCCGCAGAAAAGAATGAATGCGGTTCCCAATTTTACGAGGAAACTTCGTGAAGCCATTCTCACTATACATTCACTGGCCGAACATAGCCGCCTAATTGCGAGTTTCATTTGCTGGTCAGGTTTTATTTACGGCTTCCACAAACGAGCCATCGAACAGAATAACGGCGGTAATAATAAATCAATGTATCAAGACGATTTAATTATTTGACAACTTAATTATTTTTTTATGCAAATGTTTTCCTTCTTCTCACTTCGTGTAATTTTTCTTTAACGGTGGAGAAATGCTGCGAGTCTGATTTTGTTTTAAATATATTGTCACAAATTTTTCACTTCTCAAAACGAGAAAAGTATCGCTTGCGATCATTTTTCCGTTTAAAGACACACACGTGCGAAATAAATGCGGATCACGTGCGGTAACCGCGTGTAAAACCGCAAAGATATGCCACTTTTTCGGCGAGCTTTCCGACTGGACTTACCTGAAAATCAGTTCTGCCGCATCCCCGTATCAAGAGTGCATCGCCCGTGAACGCGATTGCCTGCTCATCGCAAACGTACGTGACGCAACCTGCGAAAAGTATCAGATGGAATATTTACGATATCGTGCTTCGCTTCACGCGACCGCCATCCGGCAGGCATCGCGTCGCTTTTCGAACCGAATATATTTATCTCTCCGCTTCTCGTAATCGGCTGGTACGATAAATTGAGTTCTCGTTCGTCAGCTCGTTCATCCTATTTGCGTGCAATATCGCGTTCGGCGAAAAAAGAGGGGAAAAAAAACGGAAAAGAAGAAAGAAAAACTGCGAACAGATATATTACGCGCGCTCGAAAAATGTCGAATGAGGCGAATAGCTGTACCTGACACGAAAACCATGATTTGTGTTCCGACGAATATAAAGATGATTCAGAAATCAAGTGAAATAATTAGAACATTTGCGTAATTTGTGCATTGAATTTCTCGCACAAACATATAATAACTATTTTCTTAGTAATTTTATAAAAACTAAATTTCAATATTTGCGTCAGCGCTGATGACTACGCAATATATATAATTATATTAATTTTATTACGCACACTTATCGAAAAATTCTAGTATCGGTTGATTTATTAATAAAACATCAGAACAATAAATATCTTCTGAGCTCCACGTTTTTTACCCAAAAATAAATATAAAAATCACTTATTAATCCTGTTATTGAATTTACGTTGATGAAAAGACTCCAATTGCGAAATGTCTTGCACTTCGCAATTGGAATTATTCTTGTGCCTTTGTATATTCTTCATACAAACTCATATTTGTTTTATAAAATATTTGCTTTCTCGCGAAATATGCGCGACGCATTTTTTATCCAAAAACAAATATATTAAAAATTACTTATTAATCCCGTCGTTAAATTTAAGTTGATAAAAAGGTTTGGAATGTCCTGTATTTCGTTATTGGAATTATTCTTGTGCCTTTGTATATTCTCCATGTACGCGCGGCGCACAAACGCGCATATCTGTTTTACAAAATATTTGCTTTCTCGCGAAATATGTGCGGCGCATTTATCGTGATGCATTTCTTCGTCTTACGTGCAGAAATAAAGCTGATATGAATATTGAATATCTAACCAGATGTTCAATGCTTGCTCGATTATTCGGCACGAAAAATCGAGCCTGTCGCGCGGACCCCGATATCGAGATAGCTAGATGCCTCCAGGATTTTCCCTGGACAAACGATTGAATCGCGACGAATAGCAAATCTGGCACGATCGATAAGAATGACAGTATCTTTTTTTTTTTCATTCCGTTCCGTCGTGCAAACTCCAATAGTGATATAAGTGTATATGCACGTCTGTACGTACAGAGTGTTCCAGAACTATCAAATACCACAAATGACGTCAACGTAAGAAGAAAGCTATTGTTTCATCGCCAAAAGATACCAAACAGATTGAAAATGTCGAAAAAGTTTAACAAGTTGCGCTTGAAGACTGCGCATGAATATAATAAAACGTTATTTTTTATTGTATTAGAAAAATTTACTTTTTCAATATTCTAATTTCGGAATTAATTATAAAAATGTAAAGTTGATGCAAAAAAAGTTAACAAGCAAAATAATTTCAAGCAAATTTTTTGCTGAGTGACGGTAAATTCTGGTACACCCTGTACATAGAGTTTCTCGGCATAAGCAAAGGCTTCCTTCTTTTTTTTGATGATGGCAAAGAATATTAGCATTTAAGAACATGTACATTGAAAAAAAGTACAAAAAAATTGCAGCTACAATGTTTTCTGGATGGAGAACAGTTTAAATTAATCGCTCCAGAGACTCTAATTCACACGCAAAACGCGTGCGGAATTCAGAACACAACGCAGCACAATTCTTCTGAGCGTGCAAAGATAATAAAAAAGAAAAGATAAGAATATGATACGCACGGAGTAAAGCACACAAGGTAGACGTTAATATTAAATTTCTAATAAAAAAATTATTCGGGAAAATGTAATGAAATAATTAGGAAAAATATTTTGAATAAGTAAAGGAATCTAGAAAATTTGCGTTTAGTCACTGAAATGTGCGCACAAGCACATAAACAATACGAAATAATTGAAATATAATATATACAACATTAGATGATAATAATAATGGAAAAGTTTAAAGAATATTTAATTATTTATAAATTAAAATCACAAAATAAACTTCACTGATCATCCTTCTTCACATTTAAAATTTAAAGTTATTAATAATATGCGATACACATATTCCCAAACGTAATTGTTAATTAGTCGCACACGATTTCTTAATAACTAGAATTACGATTGATCAGTTCGACCTTGCATGTGTATCCGAGATAGACGCGCATTACATCCTTGATCTTTTCCACGTGTAAAATAGCGCCGCCTCTCACCGCCCTCGCAAGAAAGTATTTCATCACTTTTCTCGGGACGTCGCAATTAATAAAATAATAGTCCGAGCGAACGCGATCGATCGCGCAGAAATGCATCCCGATATCGCGGAGTTGCGAACTACTTGTTCCGTAACTTTTCGTGTTACAATTCCGAAACTTTCGCTGCGCTGCATGAAAATCGCATTCTGTATTCATCGTGTGAACGCAGCGAGCGCGTTAAGAATTGCGTTAAACTGGATTAAATGCGTTACAAAGATTCATAAAACACAATATCGTTAGCTGCACCGTTGTGCACGGTGTCAAGGGGAAAATGTGAAAAATTAATGTATATTTTTAGATTTGAAGTAATTTTTTTTCGGATCAAAATTTAAGTCGAGGATTGAAATATTTGCTGTTCAAAATGAATATTAAAGTAGCGTTAAAGAAAATGGAAAAGATGAAAAATCCGAAAATTCATTTTTCATGGCGTGGACTCAACAAGACAACAGATAATATATCATATACGTATATTGTAACGCAGAATAGTTCGCGAAACATGTCGAGAAAACGTTGAAATCCACGTATGTATCAAATATGATACACTATGCACTTAGCCCTTTATAGGGCAGCGCTGTGCTCTATTTTACCACTCCATGTAGCTGACACATGGGCGATGGTAGGATGCTAGCTAAATGGGCAACGGTATAATATTTTACCGCACGAAAAAAATAAGCAAAAAGAAAAACCGCGCACCAAAAAAAAAAATAGCGTTATTTATCCTCCGCTGTGTCTAACTTCATATCGATTTTGCAAGCTATTCTCAACTTGCCGTCTTAAATCGATAAGTTGCACAAAATAAGACCTCATGTAAGATACATTCCCCAAAATAGGTACTTAAAAAGTGTAAAAAATGTAATAAAGTTCAAATGTCGTGCTGAAATAAAAACCCCCACAACGATTCTGGAATCGCAAGAAAAAATCCGTTTAAGGAAAGTATCTGACCTTCGGTGTGACCCGGAGTGGGAAGCACTTTCAGATGATGTCTGCCGAATCGGATCTGATCGTACGGCTGCAGAAGTATATCCGCCTCGGCGCCGCTACTGTGCGATATCATGGATTTGCAGCTGGGCAGCAGCGACTTCAATCGACCGGTGCCGGTGATGTGATCCGCGTGCATGTGCGTGTTCACTGCAACAGCGAGAAAGATTGCCGCTGAGCGAAGATGCTAGTCATTGTTGCACTGGTAAATGCATAATCGATAAGCGCCGCTGAGTCCGCGCGGGATCGCGATCGCATCGCCGTATCGCGCTTCCGTAATGCGCTACAGGTCGTCCCAGAACCGATAGATATCTCGCCAGCGGGGAAGGAAGATGATATACGGTTATCTTAATGCGCGGAGACATCATAGTTGCGGAATTGTTTAGCGCTGAAGATTAAAAAAGGAGGTCACGATGTGACGCGAATGAAGATTTATGGAAAATCCATTAATAAATTAGAAGAATTTCTGAGATATTTTTTATGTCGATTAAAAAAAATCTGTCCAACATTCCGAGATCTCTTGTATATTTCTACATTGTACGCGGGTAATTATTGGAAACAATTAAATTACATTAAATCTATTAATCTAATTAGCGGTCTTGCCCTTTGTACGACTGGATTACGCGTAATTCGCGCAGTTTTACAGAAGTAGAACGGCATTAATGGGGTCTGCATTATTGGAAAACAGAGAGAGGCGCATTATGGAAATGTCCATTTGTTCGGGACAGAATTGGCACGCGCAGAGCTCGGTATAAACAAGTGCATACGTTCCACTTAGCCAAAGTGATCTCTAGCAAAAACCACTTTGCGGTTTGATAGCGCAATAAGTAATATGGTAATCCTATTAACTCTTTCGCAACCTGATATACGACGCCGTAAACTTCGTCCCTTCTTGCTGAACTAGAAGTCCCTTCGCCATTAAGGACGCGAATTTCGGCCGGAAGAGTCTAATATTATCCTACCATCTGCGTCAGCGGGGAACAAACAATAATTAAAAACAGATATTTAAAAAAAATATTCTATCTTTAGAGATAAATAAATAGAAAAATTACGTAGAAAAATAAAAAAAACTATATAAAAATACGACAAAAAATTAAATAATTTCTATTTTCATATCCAATATTTTACTAGCACATGTGTGATTCTTCAATTCTATAACGTTCCAAAATTATCTTTTCCTTTTTTTTTTTTAATTTTTATCTTTAATAGCAAAAGTTTCCATAGCATGGCCTCGAAAATCCACACTGCAAATTAGCCGAGCGAGAGGGTACTTCTAGTTAAGGGTTAAACTTCATTAATTTCCATACAGATCCGCCCCCGCGCGCGATAAGCACGATTTGTCGGCGAAATAATGCCTCTCGTCGCGCGATACACTCGAAAATTATACGGCGTCCGTCGAAATCGATTCGGATCGAAGTCAAAGTTCTTTATCGAAATTGGCAAAGTTCGACGATATGCCCAGGCACACTCTCACCGGGTTTATGGTCCACGGCCGTGTTAAGCTGCGGAACAATGGTGAAACTATGCGGCAAGGCTCGCGAGCCGCCCCTCGCGGCACGGCGGGATTGCATGCCAATTCATTATGAAGTTCGGCAAATATTGGTCGGTTAGTAGGATAGTTCGCAATATAATTCTACGCTCAACTCGTAAATCACATCGCGGGACATCGCGTAATTGCCGACAAGTACATTGCCAGCGGTATCGGGCAACGGCGGTAGTAAGATAATACATTTTGTTGTTAATTAGAGCTTGTAATTAATTAGTTATCGATTCAAACGTTTTACGGACAGCGTCAATAAACAATAGGTCATTGCACTTGTAATATCGCATTCGGAATAATTGATCTTGCGTAATATTGATGTTAAATGCTTCATAATTAACCCTCGAAGGGAGGGTGTCTGAAACCCTCACTCCAGACCCGGTTTTGTAATCAATGGTCTTCTTGTTTCATAATATTATTAATTTACGTGAATAATTATTTTTGTGACAATTTGTGAGTCAATGCGAAATAATTAAAGATTAATGAAAAATGTGTTTAATCCTGGTTTTTTTTTAATAAGCCTTTAAATACCTTTGCCGTTCGAAGTTTAAATAAGTAACACAGTCTGCATATATTAAATTATACTTCAGCCGACGCTGTTAAAAAATGTCACCCAATTTTAAAGAATTATCTCAAAATTATGTGAAATCTAAAAATACGGCGTATTGGAAAAATATAAGTCAGATATAACGTTGTAGAAACAGAGCTGTCAATATCAATACGGTATTTTGCGAGTTACCAGAGCTAACATCTCAGGAATAAACGTCACTATGTAAAGTTTAATATTTAAGTCTTTCCAAAATTTTATATATGTGATAGACCAAAATCCATATTTCTGATATACTGATAATAGCTCGAACACATTAATATTCTATAAAAATCATATATTTTGAAAGTGGCACAAGTCGAATCTTGAGAGAATTATCGTGATGTTCTAATATTCCTTTAAAACTAATATAAGAATGATTAACGCGAAGTTGTCATATTTGATATAGTAGTATAAATAAAAGTAGTCAATTTTGATGCCAATCAAAATTTGAAAATTCAATACATAGATAACTATTATAAATAGATGCGATACTATTTCAGAACGAGTATTCTAAAGAATCTAATTTAATTTTAAAATTTAAAATATGGAATTTATCCATACCTTTTATTAATCTATACCTTAAATTTTAAAATTAAATTAGATTCTTTAGAATACTCGTTCTGAAATAGTATCGCATCTATTTATAATAGTTATCTATGTTAAATTTTCAAATTAGAATATTCGTTCTGAAATAGTATATATATATATATA